TGAATTATTAAAATTTTACTAACGATTTTAGATGATAGGCAAAAAGCTAGCCCACACTAAATGATGAATTACGACCTGAAAGACACGTGGAAAGAACATAATTCCCGGTCTAGGGTTACAACTATTCTGATGGAAATTTGAAGGGGTTAAGCAGTCTTCATCTAAAATCGTACCTCCGAGTCCCGTATGTTTTTCCTTTTCAGGAAAAGGACCGCATGGAAGGAATAATCAAGTGCTCGAGATTTCATACTTCAAAGCTCAAACACTTGGGGGACTATATAATATACATATGATATATGTATGAAGAAGGCGAGGAAGACTGAAAACAACTAAGAGTTCAAGTCAAAGCCCAAAAGTCTACTCATCCAATGCCAAGTTCAGAGCAAAGTCACGAGCCAATAACACAAGCCAACCAAAGAAAAACCTTCATATAGATTCTAAAATGTTTAGGTTTAAGGCAATATTTAGCCATGGGTCATAAGGAAACCCTTGGATTTCTTTTTGCAAATCCGTTGTAAAGAAAATAGTTACGGAAAGTAATAGAAGATATATAAATACATGTAAGATGTTATTTAAACTTGACAAAGTTCAAATGAAAACTTTATCAAAGTTATTCAAGAAACATGTGTGTTCCTATTTCTTTTTTCGTATATTTACACCATTATGAAGTTGAGACGTCTTCTTCATTAAGTGTCGAATATAAAAGGGCCTTCTTTTATAAATTCATGTTCGATTCATAAATCCATGAAGTTAATAAACCATTTTTTTTGGAAAAATACAAAAAAGGGTAAGACAGAAACCCACAAATTAAAAAGGCAAGACCTTGGATTTATACAAAACAAGGCAAAAAGAGTAAAACAGAAGCTCAAAATAATTAAGTTGAAACGAAAACTTTATAGTATTAAGTTTAGAACTAAGTATGAACTTAGTCTTAAACTAATTGTCACTTTTTACAAAATGCCCCGAAAAGACTTGGGGACTTGTCATTTCCAAAAAACATAACCCCCAAATGGGACCAGGGGTAAAACCACCAAGAAAAAAGAGAGAGTTAAACTTCATAAACTTTCACTGTGGAGCGGAAGAAGAGTCTAAAGCAGGATCATCAGCAACAGAAGGCTCGATTTGATTTGAAGGAGTTGGGAGATCCACCGTAGCTATATTAGCTTCGATATTCTTAGGAGTATCAGCCATGGGTGAAGGAAAACTTTGATCTTGCTGAGTTTTCTCAATTGTTTCCTTTATCTTAGCCAATTCAGCATTCAAGTTAAAACCCTCTTGGCTAACCTCCACAAGGGTATCATGGTGTGTGTTTAAACCAGCCCAACTCACTTCAATAGCAGTTTTATCCTCAAGAGCCTCGTAATCTCTTTCCCATTGGTCAATCTCATTCTTGAGCTCTTCCTTCTCAGCCAAAGCAGCATCATAAGAAGTCCGCAAAGGTGCAAGTGAACTTTCCAAAAATCTGACCTTATCAGAAGACACACGAAGGTCTTCTTGGGTCTGGGTAAGTGTCTGAACAAGTTCACCTGCATAAACTTCTTTTTCGTTCAATCCTCTAATCTCTTCACTGGCTTTGGAGAGTTGCTCGGAAAATGATGCCTCAAGGAGACTTTTGTCCTTGTCAGCCTGATTGGAAGAAGCTTTTTCAACTGCTAACTCTAAAATCAAGACCTTCAACTGTTGCTCTAAGGTACGCTTGCTCTCTTCTAACACTTCCATCTCCAGCTGAAGACTTTCATACTGTTCTTTCCAATTGTCTGCTTCAATTTCATAGTCACGCATTAACTGCTCCGTATGACAAACCCTCTTCATCATCTCTGTACCAATGAGATTGATCTAGAAAAGAAGAAAGGGGTAAGAACCTTAGTGAAAAGAGAATTGAATAAAGCGTAAAAAAAGCAGCAAATACCTTCAGTGATGATTGCACTATGTCATTCATCCAAGTCAAAGAACTATGACTTTCTAGCTTGGACTTTTGGACCGGACCAATCAAGGGTTTTAACCATACGTCAGCCCGACCTGATTTTTTCAAAAGATTACCATCGGCAGGGACCTCAATGGTAATCTGCTTCATCCCTCCACTTCCACTTGAAGAACCAACCTCAGTTCGAGGAATGGTGATAGTGGGTACTGAAGAAGAAGTCATAACATCTTGGGGCGGAGTAGAAACAGTAGCAGTAACAACTGGCAAAGAACACACCACAGGGACAGACATGGTAAAAGAGGCAAGAGGCACTTCATCAGAAACCAAATCCAAATTCTCACTATCAAACCCACGAGAAAAAAGCTGTTCATCGGAGTCACGAGCTGCCGTAGGAGTATCATCATCAGAACTCACCAATGTAGCACCAACAGGCTCGGTCACGAGAACAGAACGGGGAGGAGTCGCTTCATCGTCTGACAAGACGTGTCTTCTGGCCCGTGGCCTTTTAACCAAGGAACTTCCATCCTGTTCCTATTCCTCCTCAGAATCTTGGGTCGCATCAGCTTTCCTTTTCAATGAAGAACTCAAGATTATCTCTTGAGCTCTTTCCAAAGAAACTCTGGAATCCGCGATTGCATCAGCACTTACCCCACGTATGGGGAACCCAGATAAAAAGAAGGGTCAAATAAATTCTAAAGGAAAGATGAACAAAAATATAAAAAGAAGGCGAGTAAAGTATTTACCATGAGTTTTGACATTCCAACCAAACCTGTGTGAAAGGTTTTTCCAAGATCTGCCTTCCATAGGCGCAACAGTCAATAACTTTTCTACCCAGCCACGGAAATTGGGAATCTCGTCAACAGTTCCCATGGTTGCTGAAAAAGGAGAAAGTTAAACAACAACGGGAAAAATAAATCCCTTTAGAAGGAACAAAGAAATAAAGTTGCAAGATTAAAACTCACGTGCAAAATTCCACTTTTCAGGGAATGGTACATTTTCTTCACCTACTAAACCTACAATAGAAGCAGCAACAAATCTGGCATACCAGCCACGATGGTTATCATCTTCAGGGCTAACTAGCACTCTCTTACTCCTCGCCACTAAAGTAAAGATCCCATGGCGGAAAAGCTTAGGGGAGTAGAGGTGGATCAGATGAAAGAAAGTGAAAGGCAAATTAGCCAACCTTGCTAAGTGCCTTAGGCAAACAACAACCCTCCACACAATGGGACAATTTGTCCCAGACAAACATTGAAAAAACGGCAGAACTCAATAATAACAGGATCAATGGGGGGTTTGAAATACAGTGTAAAGGGATATGCATACACAAAAGAAAATCCAGTCATGTAAGATGTAATTACTTGGTTTGCATTAGGAATTATGATAGGGAAGTCAAGGCTCAAATGGCAATCCTTACTGACAACAGAGATTAAACCTTCGGTAATCTGAGAAGGGTAAACGTCAGCACGATCCAAAGAAGACATAGAAGAAACTTGATTCCTAATTGATTCTCTATCAGAGTAAAAAGATAGTTCAGAAGGGATAATTTCATCAACTAAAGGTTCACGAACTGGTTCACTAGAGTCTTTATTTCTAGAAGAAGTTCCATGTGAAAGAGAACCCCTAGTTCTAGAAGGAGGGGTGGAACTCGATGGAGGTAAAGAAATACCTCGTGTAGATGAAGACCCTAAACTACGCAATCTTCCCCCTCTTCTGCTTCTAACAGGAGCAAGGGAAAGTTCATCAACAATGGGGACTCTTCGAGGATTAGGGTTTGAAGAAGACATGGCTGTACGAGGAAGAAAACAAGAATGAATATTCTAAGATAGGTAACTTTTTATGAGAAAGACAAAAACGAAAGCTATATTTATACTCAGAAGCAACCGTCAAGGAAAAGGTGTAATGATGGAAACACCATGATGGAAACTGTCACTTCGTAATTGATGAAGCCGCAATAAAGCCTTAAAAGACGCTGAAGAATTGCAGATCCGATTAGAAGATGCCACGTGTCACGAACATTAAATGGAAGTGACATATGAACGTCAGTTCTGGAAAAGGTATAATGGCGGCAAAAATTCTCGCTTTAATGAAGATCCACTTCCCAAATATTCTATTGCTGAATTAATGGCAAGGTGGGGGGGGGGGGGGGGGACTATCTGTATTGGGAAAATTCAAGTTAGTATATTGAATTTATTATGTAATGATATGTCATGACACGTGGGTCAGTAAAAGAATGACAACTGATAGAGAATAGTTAAAGAGGCACGAGCTTTAACAGACACGAGCAGAGGTCCAAGAAAAACAGAAGGGATAGGTGCTCGACCTCTTGATAATTTGGAAAAGTGTAGGAGGAATGGACCTAGATAGCAAAAAGGATAGATACGTATTATTGGTAGTTAATGAGCATTAATTACGGGAAACGTTATAGAATCTGTACTGAACAGTTACGATTGCCAATTATAACGTTACATTAAATGTCATTAGTTGCCCATAATAACTCCATTATGGGAGGAAAGAAACGTATTACTTAGAAATAGCTATAAAAGGTGAAGAATAAACGTTTGTAAGGACATGAAACACTATTGGAATACACTGATTTACTTTGCTTTCCATCTTACAACTATTCATATCAATTATTCTTATTTTCTTTGATTATCTGTAACCCGAGTTCTTCTAATAACAAGCTTTGGTTATATATATATATATATATATATATATATATTGATTTTGCCGAGGCCAACGGTTCCGGTGACCCCCTACTGCTAATGTAGGTCCGCCCCTGCTCTCCTAAACCACAAGGAAAAAGATTGCTAGGATGAGATAAAGAGCCTGTTTGGTTGTGCTTTTATTAAGTGACTTTTTAGCATAAGCCAATAAGTTAGGAATTCTAGCTTTTGGCTTGTTTTTGTCATTTTAGCTTAAAAATAAGTGCTTAAAAGCACCTTTTTTACTTTATCCAAACACTGCAAAATGGCTTAAAAGCGATTTTGGCTTAAAAGCACTTAAAATAAGCCAATCCAAACGGGAAGAGATAAAATAAAATTACAACAAGCATCTTGAATAAGACAAATTACAGCACCATCTTTTCCCAAACACAAATACACAAACCAACCTTTCACTTTTAGCATATCTTTGTCCAACAGCCATCACACAAGAACTTCTACTCTTGTTTCTTTTTGACCGCCATCTGTTGTACTTTTTAATTCCAAGTGAAATCAAAACAAACAAACAAAATTCTTACACCAAAAGGAAGAAAAATCAATCACCAGAGTTCTGAATATTAAACAAACACATAATGCTTCATTATTTTTCCAATCTTGACTTTCCATCTATTGTAAAATCCATTCACATCTTCAATCACTTTATCTAAGAATGACACCTTTGTTAATCTCACCGATTTACTCATCCCATTCCACAAGTTTGCAACCTCTTTATCACTCTTCAAACGGTTCAATATTATTCCTTTTTCTCGAAGTAACACTGCATCTTCTTCTGTATGAATAATCCCGTTCATTAATTCAGTGTAATGCGTAAAAACCAACGGTCCTGATGCATTTCGTATGCAACTAAATTTCTCAGGATAGCCTCTGTATTTATGTCAAGATTGACTGTAGGCAAATAAAATTTCATCTTTTTACCGTCGAAATTTATGCTCATGATTCCTGTATTGGTTGCTACAAAACTTACTCCAGCTTTAGTAAGTTTTTTTACTGATGGTATGGCTATTTCTTCAACAAGAGGGGGTTTATTCATATTTGTTTCACTTTCAGGATTTTCTTCTGCTTTTTCTTGTGAGAAGCACATATATGTAATGGGTTGTGCGAATAGTTTAATTCCAGGAAGATTAGAGAGTAGTTTCCAGGGCAACTTAAAAATCAATTTAACAGGTCTGGAAAATACTATTCTTTTTAAAATACGTACAGGCCCTCTGTTTATTTTCAAAAGGATCTTCCAAACTCCACGAAATACTTGTCCAACGTGACTAATTGATTTTGCATAGGAACTATTTTCTCCATGGTTCACGTCAGTTTGCTCGTGATCGTCTTCTGTTATTTCACAAGTTCTTTCTAATTTTGGCACGATGAATTGATACTGAAAGTCTAGTATATGAGCACACTCTATGAGTTGAAATTTTGAGAATTCTTTTTCCATTTTGAAAGGAGAAAGCTCCTTGCAAAATCCCATTAGCATAGATAGCAGTGTGTTGTCAGCAAAATCTAAAGATGAAAACTGTAACTCCAACATTTTCCTTAGTATGAATAGGGGGATTTGGTTTTCAAGCATAATTATATCTCTGAGGATAGCATTATGCGTAGACTTTCGCCCTGCAACATCAACCAAATGTGACATTCTTGAGGAAACTTTAGTTAGAAGCTTACCTTCAATAGTGGCATAGATTTGAAGTAACTCAAGCAAGAAAGAGGCATCTACATCCATCATCCAGGCCAAAGTTTCCCCACTGAAATTCAAATACTTATGGTACGAACAACGAATTCTATGATCAAACTTTATCAACTGTTCCACAAGATGCTGAAATTTCAAACTTTGGAGATGCTTCTGAGTTCTCTTGGCAGCACCAACTTTGTACCTGTTGAGGTATAAAATAGTTAAGTAACTAAAAATATACTATTCTCTTAAGTAGTTTGGTGAGATGGTCACACCATTCAACTTGCAGCGAACAGAGATCTAGTGTTTAACAAGATGTTTGGCCCATGAAAAAGACGTGAGGAACGTGTTAAGATATAATTAAGCAAATAAAATTATACCCTCTTGATAGTTTAAGTTTTTAAATGGTGATACAATTCAATAGTACCTCTCCATATCATAAAGCTCTTGACGCCAATAATGGTAAGGGCCTATTGCCACTAATTGTGGCACGTATGAATCAGGATCGCTGACCATTAAAGATTTTGGAACGTTGTAAATGCTCACAGGGATTTCAGTATCTTCTTCAAGTTCTTCATCAAGTGTTCGACGGATTTGAATAATCCATCGGTGTTCATCGAAGTTTGAAGCACTGGAATTTGAGGCAATGTTGGTTGGACATGAAGACATGGTTTCTCTGTTTCAAATCTTTAGATAAACAAAATATGTAGCGGTTTTGGTTTATTGAATGATGGAGTACGAGAATTGAAACTTCATGCATATTTATGGATGAGAATGAAGAACATTAGGATAGTATACTTCACTTAATCCTAAATGCGTAATATTGACTAAAGTGATTACCGGCCCTAACAAAAAGAATAACTAAATTTAATAAACCTGCTCTTTTTCATGTTATAGTTCAAAGATAGTAATTAACTTGGTTCATAAGCTGAACCCTTTACCCTGTTAATTTTTCATATCCAAATATTATCCGTCCTTAGAGCTGTAAAAGAGTCAATTTCACTTGAATACATATTTAAATAGCAAACACTTGTAACAATGTTCGACATATAGAGCACCACTGGACCCAGGTTCTGTTTTTTCTCCTTTATGGATCGGACAACAATTTATGTGTTTAAACTATGGGTTGATTCTGTCAGGATAACAAGAGCCAATATCTTGAATAGGTTATAGGCACGTTCAATGGGCGAAGGGTAATTTTTAAATCGTCGCGAATCTTTGTGATTTCTTTGCATGGGTAGGTGTATTGGGAAAAAAGTTGAATTTATATTGAAGATGACGTGGCGTGACACGTGGACTGGACAAATGGTCAAAGCGTAACAATTGAGAAAAAGGTACGGGAGATGATAGGTACGGGAAGAGGAAGTGAAACAGGCACGAGAAGCAGTTTAGACACGAGTCTCGTACCAATTCAAGTCGTTTAAAGCCAGTGGATCGAAACGCATTGAAGACATGGATCTGAAGACAAAAAGGAGTCCAAATTCAGTATTAAATACCTGATACGTTAGAAAATTGGTATTTAATAGGAATGATTGTGTAACGGCTTATTTAATGTCATTTATTGTCCATAAATGTCTCATTAAAGTTTAGGTTTCATTCCTTTACGTAGAATCAACTATAAAAGGAGGAAGTTGTATTGGGAAAAGGGGATCATTGACATCATACTGAAATAAAAACTTGTTTACTGCTTTATTATTATTCTCAGAAAGCCTATTATTCTTTTTTGGTCTCTTGATTATCATCTCAAATTCTAGCTTTATCCAAAATATTATTTCTTTGGTGAAACAAATTGGTTCCGTTACCGGGAATCTGATAATCTATTCTTTTTAAGTTACATTCTATCTGTTGTTATCATCATGTCACACGACAATAATAACAGTGAAGACACCTTGGGAAATCGAGAAAATCAAATGCATCAAGATCAAGGAGATTTGCAGAACTTTAACGTGGTCCCTTCTCTTCAAAATTCACCACGTCAATCTCGTGAAGGCACTCCTAAATCACATGCTGATGAGCAAGAGCAATCAGAACATTTTGAGGGACCAGAAGAAGCTCTGCAAAGAATAATTGATGCACGGGTTAGCCAAGCTCTTCAGGCGCTAGTTAGCCGGTTACCTGCTGCGCCGTCCACACCTTCGCCTAATAACAATACGCTGGAGAATCCTCGTTCTGGCCTTGTTAATTCAAACGAAGGAACCCCCATTGAACCACGAGAAATGAATCCAGGTAATACAAATAATTCTTATTTACAAAATTTGGTACTAACTTTGCAGACACAGCTCAAAGAACAAAACGAGCGCATCGAGCAAATCCCTGGAGTTCCCCCAATAATCAAAGGAATAGATGCGGATAAATATTCACAACAACCTTGGAAACCAAGTGCTGCTCCCCTTTCAATCCCTAAAAAGTTTAAAATGCCTGACATTTCAAAATATGACGGCACAACCGATCCACGTGACCATGTGACGGTATTTACTACAGGGGTCAAAGGAAATGATTTAACCAAGCAGGAGATTGAGTCCGTGTTGGTCAAGAAATTTGGTGAAACACTCACCAAGGGTGCACTAACCTGGTATTCTCTTTTGCCTGAAAACTCTATAAACTCTTTTGCTGAGCTTGCAGATTCTTTCATTAAGGCGCACTCAGGAGCACAAAAGGTTGAAAAAAGAATGGAGGACATCTTTAAAATCAAACAAGTGGATACAGAGTGACTTAAAGAAAGCCTTCGAGAGTTCCCTGCAACCACGTGGAATGATGTGTATAACAAGTACAGTACGAAGTTGCGAATCGAAGAAGATACCGTGCCTCGATTTCAACATGAAGAAAGAAGCAGTTCAAGGAGATCTGAAACTGAAAAAAGATCAGGTAAAAACAGGTACGATCCTTATATGGGTCCTGTAGGAAAAGATTCACGAACAAAACAGGATAATCAACGATATGATCAAAAATCAAGGAACAGGGAATCAGGCTCCTCGTCAAGGTTTGCGAATAATTAAAACATACGCGGGGCACGATATAATGATGGAAGTTTGAAGGCGAGATTTGGTGGATATAATTTCAATGTCACTACCTCCGAGCTCGTAGCTGTTTTAAGGAGCATGGGAGATAAGGTACGGTGGCCGAAGGAGATGCGATCAAATCCAAACAAGCGCAATCCAGATCATTGGTGCGAATTTCATAATGATCACGGGCATAAGACTTCAGAATGTAGATTCTTACAAAGTGAAGTGGACCATCTATTGAAACAAGGTTATCTCACTGAGTTATTTAGCGAGAAAGGAAAGCAAGCCTACATGAAAAACAGGCAAGAGCCACCAAAATCCCCATCACCCAAGAGAACCGTGAATGTTATAAGTGGGGGAGAAGATATTTATGGAGTAACATACACAGCTTCAAATACACAATCACGCACGGGAAACGAGTGCGTCAAACCTTAGAGGATGAAAGTATCACTTTTAATGATGCAGACACAGAAGGAGTGATCACCCCTCACAACGACGCGCTGGTAATATCTTTACTTGTACATGATACTAATGTAAAAAGAGTTTTGATTGATCGAGGAAGTTCTGCAAACATCATCCTATTAAGAGTACTACGTGAAATGCAAGCGGAGGATAAGATGATTCTAAAGGCGCATACTCTAACAGGATTCGATAATTCCAGTGTTGTAACTAAAGGAGAGGTAATTCTAACAACTTTTGCAGAAGGTGTTGTGAAAGATACCAGATTTCAGGTAGTAGATATGGAGATGGCATATAATGTAATCATGGGGAGACCGTGGATTCATGATATGGACGCTGTCCCGTCAACTCTACATCAAGTAATGAAATTCCCATCACCATGGGGAATCTGTCAAATCCGAGGGGAACAACATACAGCTAGGAGTATTAATATGGTAACAGATACGAGTGCTGTAAATAAAGTTGAAGAAGACATAAACCAAACCACAACGGAACGAGGAAAGACAGATATAGACTTGAGACCTGATATGATTCAAGAGCCTGAAGAGAATGAAAACATCAAAACAACAATTGAGGAGCTCGAGCCTGTGATACTATTTGAACAATGGCCTGAACGAAAGGTTTATGTGGGAGCCAACTTAAGCTCGGATACGCGAGGTATGTTAATTGAATTCTTAAAAGCTAACGTGGATTGTTTTGCTTGGTCCCATGCTGATATGACAGGAATACTACCGGAAGTAATGACTCACAAACTAAATGAAGACCCATCTTGCATACCCGTTAAACAAAAGAAAAGAAAGCAAGGAGCTTTCAAAAACCAGGTGATTCAAGAGGAGGTCCAAAAGCTATTAAAAATTGGGTCAATTCGTGAGGTAAAGTATCCTGATTGGTTGGCTAATACGGTCGTCGTACCTAAGAAAAACGGTAAATGGCGGGTTTGTGTAGATTATACCGATCTTAACAAAGCCCGTCCAAAAGATTCCTTCCCTCTACCTCATATAGATCAGTTAATTGATGCAACTGCAGGGCATGAACTTTTAAGTTTCTTAGATGCATATTCGGGGTACAACCAAATAAAAATGGACCCCGGTGATGAAAACAAAACTTCTTTCATCACAGACAGGGGGACTTACTGTTACAAAATAATGCCCTTTGGTCTCAAGAATGCTGGAGCAACCTATCAAAGGTTGGTCACTAAAATGTTCCAAGAACATTTAGGAAAAACTATGGAGGTATATATAGACGATATGCTCGTCAAGACCCAACATTCTAATGATCATATTTCTCATTTATCTGTCACATTTGGAATTTTGCAAAAATTTAATATGAAACTCAACCCAGAAAAATGTGCATTTGGAGTTGCCTCAGGTAAATTTTTGGGTTTTCTTGTTTCTAACCGTGGCATTGAAGTGAATCCTTCTCAGATCAAAGCAATAGAAGAAATTCCTGATATCCTTACAAGTAAGAAAGAGGTTCAAAGATTAACAGGAATAATTGCGGCTTTGGGGAGGTTTATTTCCAAATCTTCGGAGAAGTGCTTTAAATTTTTCGCAGCACTCAAAAAACAAGATCATTTTGAATGGAACGAAGATTGTCAGCTGGCTCTCAGAAATTTGAAAGCTTATTTGTCAAACCCGCCGCTGCTAGCAAAACCGAAGGAGGGTGAAAAGTTGCTCATTTATTTGGCTGTATCAGAAGTTGCGGTAAGTGCTGTCTTAGTTCGAGAGGACCAAGGTAAACAATCTCCTATTTATTATGTAAGTGAATCTCTGTTAGATGCTGAAACACGATACCCGCAACTAGAAAAGTTAGCTTTGGCTTTGATCATGGCATCTAGAAAATTGAGACCTTATTTCCAATCCCATCCTATTGTCGTGGTTACTGCTTTTCCATTACGAAACATTTTGCATAAACATGAGTTATCAGGAAGGTTAGCAAAATGGGCCATAGAGTTAAGCGAATATGAAATCAGTTACCAATCTAGAACTGCAATAAAATCTCAAGTATTAGCCGATTTCATAGCTGATTTTAGTCAGGGAATGCATTCAGAAGCAGAAAAAGAGTTACAAGTTTTTAATGGTGCAAATCCGGGGACTTGGATTTTATTTGCTAGTTTTTAATGGTGCAAATCCGGGGACTTGGATTTTATTCGCTGATGGTTCTTCTAATGTAAAAGGTGCAGGCCTAGGGATAGTTCTCGTACCTCCT